TCAGGCAAAAATATGAAAGTGAATTTTTGAAATATAATCTTCTTGCTCAATCAAATGTTGAAAGTCTCATGCCAACATGAATGGGTAATTAATAAATTGTGAGTATCCGCCAAACTGAAGGGTAGTGGTCTGGGTATTTTTCCCTCTATGCTTATTTATAAACGCTCTTTTAAATTAGGCCTTTTAAGTTCTGTAATGCACACTCCTTTCTTCATCTTTAAAACAGAACTGAAAAGCAGCAAAAGATTAACCATACGCACAGCAGGAATCTGGTAATTATCTATTGATTGCACTTATTAAATGTAATCCATAAAGGAGAAAGGCATGTAATAAAACTCCTAAGAATAGGTAAGAGAAACAATTCCTTTCTTAACATTCGATTATAAAATCTATCAGAAATGAATATTATCCACATATTAAGAACTTAATTCACCAAACCAAGTTTACTATTTCAGTCATATATAAATCCATTTTCTGTGCAGGAAAATGAGGCTCTCAATATCATCATTATGAATTGTTTCAGAAACAAAGGTTTGCTTTACTCATTTTCAACCAATGTTCAAATTAACAAGCCTCCTATAACTATATGGCAAAATGTTCTATTGCCCAAAGAGATAGAACAAAATGAATCATTAAGAAAAAATGAATGCAGATTACAGTTTCTATAAATTGCACCATAGAACCTGCCACATTTAGCTTTAATTCAATCGTCTAATTTTATTAATATGCATTTTCCATCTTAAAAATGCTGACTCAAACACAAAAATCTCCCAGGAATAACATCATCAAGTTAGTAAAGAGGAAAAATGTTTGTAGAGAAGATTAAATCTAATCTGGTGGGGGTTGGAGGAATACCAGCTTTGTCAATTAGGAGCTGTATAACATTGGCAAGATTTTAACTCTATCCTGCCCATTGTTATGTTTTGCAAAAAAAACAATGCTGCACTGAAACTGTCAACATTTTGGAACAGAGAGCAGAGAGTCTCCTGTTATCTCAGCTAGGGAAGTAGGAAGTATGGCGACAAGTCCTCTTCAGATCAGGAAAGCCAGAGACTTCTATCAATGAACACCAACCTGAACTGTAGGTTCAAATACAAAAAAAAAAGCCTCATTTGTTTTTTAGGCCACACCCAGATATGATCAGGGGTTACTCCTAGCTTTGCAGACAGGAACCGTGATAGGAGTTCTTGTGGTATTCAGGAGACCATAAGGGATGCTAGGGAGAGAGCACGAGTCGGCTGCATGCAAGGCGGCAAGCGCTCACCTGCTGTCCTATCTCTCTGGTCAAACAAAAAAAATTGTCAAGATTACTGGATATCAAAATCATAAATATATCATTATTTATTCTCAAAATATTTTATAAATTTTATTTCAAACCATATCTGAACTGAAGTAGAAAAACAAGCAAATGCATCTCATTTAGAAATTTTAAAATAAATAAATTCTCTGAACACAAATCCAATAAAATTTTATACTTTATGAAAGATGGTCACAATACAATGCTATATAGCACTTATTGCTTGCTAGGTATATTATCTTTCCATATAACTTTTCCTGTTAACTATCACAAATATAAGGTAGAGGTGCCATGTTCAAGATGTGCATGATCAAGCTTTGTTTCTGTTCTTTGTTTATTTCTAAGTGCTCACAGCCATTGTCATCAGTGCTTAAGGAACTGTGTGGTGTCAAGGACCAAACCCAGACTTCCTACAAGCAAAGCATGTGCTCTAGCCCTTTAAACTACATCTCTCCACCCTCAAGCTCTGCTCTTAACCTTAAACCAATTTGGCAAAACTGCAACAGTCCTCTTGATTCTCATCAATCTTGCAGAATATAAAAATCTTACAAGAATACAAACACTGTGAAGTTATGCATTCCAGATACTTCTTTTACTTTCTCAATGACAAGCACACTTCTGTTATATTTTTTGCACCACCTTCTCTTTCAATATTGTAAATTTCCTCTCTGATCAACAACAAAAATCAGAGGAGTTCCATCTACCGTAAGTACTCACTGAGTACTATTCATTTCTCAACAGAAGTATTTTGGGTCAGTTCTCAAAATTTCCTTTAGCTCTAAACAGGATTACAAAGGCTGTACCTACACTATAGAACGGATTATTATAAGAACGTACAGACTAAGGTACACACAGTTGCCTTATTCTCAATCCCTCTATTTCCAGTTTGATTTTCTCAAAACCCCTCCAAATTGTTTTCATCCTCAATTTGATTATTTTCTTAACTGGTCTTATTACTGATCTTCCCTTCTCCTATTGTCCTGGGCCCACAATGTAAATGCCACCTTGCTAATTCCTGTGAAGCAAAAATTCTGCTTTGCAAACAATATAATCTTCAAACATAAAAATGTGGCCAAATAAATGGTTTTAAAAAATCCATGACAAAGAAGCCAATTAGTTCAGTAACTTCCAATCTCCATGAAAATTTGAAAGACAAATCCTCTTAGAGCTATGCCTGGAGCTGGGTGGGGGAGGAGAGGTGGGGGAGAGTTAATCAGCTGTCTTCCAGAATTCCCTTAAGAAAGACCCTGAAGACCAGAAACAGTACCGTGTCAGCACATTTAAGAAAATAATGGGGGAAAATAAAGACCAAAGACCAATGTGAACTTTACATTTCTTTGCTCTCATTACCCAGTTCCCCAAACCACAAGAGGATAAAACAACAAAAAATGATCATTTCAGATAAAATTGTTAGAATACTAACCTTTACTAAGTCTATTACAACAGGTCACCAAGGTTCACTAAATCTAGGTTGAAATCTAGTTTTGTGGGGAAACACAATGTGCTTGAGTGTAAAATGAGAAGTGTTGAAGACATAAAATATGAACCAGATTTGTGAAGATTAAAGGAGAAAATAAAGTCAACAGATCATTGAGATATGCTTTAGGTTGATTAGATGTTGAAATATCATTTTGGATGTAAGTGAAACAAACTATGTTAGTAAAATTAACTTTATTCATTCATTTTGACTGAAGGTTATTTAGAAAATATAGGACTGGAGAGCTCAGGAGCTTTCCTACCAGTTTGACCCTTGTACCACATACACTCCCTGAGCCCTGCCAGGAATGATCCCTGAGCAAAGCCCAGTGTGGCCCAAAACCAAAAGAGAAAAGGAAAAAATACACAGTTTATCTGTGGCTCACATATCTATCGTATTTTATATTTCTATTGGACAGAGCTAATCCAAATTCCCTATAAGAGAATCTGTATGACAACAAAAGGAATGTTCAGTGAAAAACAGCAAAATCAGATTCCAGGTTTCTCAATCTCTTAGTAGGAGAATTTGCAAATTTTCTACCATGTACAATCTCCCTTAAATACAACAGCATTGGGAGCTAGAATAATTATAACATTAGTCATGATTAATCGTATTTCACCTAAGGAAACTAAGGCACAGAAAGGAAAAGACATTAAAAACTTTTACCAGACAGAGATATAAAATGTGACACAAAAATACTTAAATAAAATAAGTATGCTGTCAAAGTGCAGCCTTTTCTTCCCTTGCCCCTTTGGCTTCTCAGTGATTTTCAGTCTGTACTGCGAGGCTTCACTCCAGCACAGTGGGTAGGGCGTTTGCCTTGCATGCGTCTGATCCAGGTTCAATCCCTCCATCCCTCTCGGAGAGCCCAGCAAGCTACTGAGAGTATCCCAGTCTTATGGTAGAGCCTGGCAAGCTCCCCATGGCACATTTGATATACCAAAAACAGTAACAAGTCTCACAATGGAGACATTACTGGTGCCCACTTGAGCAAATCAATGAACAACGGGAGGACAGTGCAGTGCAGTGCAATTCTGCGAGGCTTAATAAAGCATAGCATATCGCTACAGTAGATATAGGAGCTGCCGAGAAATGGACACTGGGACTTGGTAGAGTGAAGCTGATGCTTGGTGAATGAAATGGTGTAAAAATGTATTTTGCATGAAACCTTGATTTATCATGAAGCCCATAATAAAATTTAAAAAGAAATAAATTTTAAAAAGAACATTAATCATTTTGTCTAACTTTCAAAGGATGGGTTATGGGTTTCTCTTTAGAATGCTGCACTTGCACAATTCACAACAGCCAGAATCTGGAAACAACCTGAGTGCCTGAGAACAGATGTATGGATAGGTTAAAGAAACAATGATACATCTGCACAATGGAATACTACACTGCTGTTAGGAAAAATGAGGTCATGAAATCTGCCTATCCATTTGGAAAGACTCAGAGTATCATGCTGAGTGAAATGAGTCAGATGGAGAGGGGCAAATATCGAATGTTTGTATTAATTTGTCTGATATTTAAAAGAAAGACGGTATGAAACTAATAACTAAGGCCAGTGAAAATGGGCCAGGAGTACTGGCCAATGGCTGGTCAATGGTGTGGGAAATGGAGGGGAGTTAAGATAGAGGAGGATCCATTATGACAATATTAGTTGGAAATGAAAGCAGTTAGGGATATACATGATAACCTTTCAGTATCTATATTGCAAAGCATAATGCCTAAAATGAGAGAGAAAGAGAAAGAGATGGAGAGGAGGGGTACCATCCACAGAGGCAGGCTGGGGTGGGTGTAGGAGGGAAACTGGGAACACTGATGCCGGAAAATCACACTGGTGGAAGGAATGGTGTTGAAACACTCTATGACTGAAATGTAATCATGAACCATTTTATAATGCTCTATCTCACGGTGGTTCAATTAAAAAATTATAAATTAAAATTAAACAAATAAATAAAACGCTGTACATCCTCTGCCAAATTTCACCCAGTCACAAAACTACCAATCAAAGAAACGGAAGATGGAAAAAATCAGAAAAATAACCAGAGAGTGACCTCCTCTCATGTAAAAGATTAAAGTTCTTTGACTGAACCGATTTGCCTTTGCAAAAGAAAGTTCTTCACTGCATCTGGATGACCCTCAACAAAGGAATTTAGGTAAACCAAGTACCTCTGTCTAAGAATTCACAAATGGGGTAAACACATTTCACCTGCTACATTTGCTTACTTAGCCTCTTAGCAGCCTCCAGAGCCTCTTTTGCAGTGTTTGCAACAAAGAACCTTTGAACTGCCACTCCATTGTCAGACATCAGTTTCTTGCTCTGGTATTCCTGCAGGTTTAGCCATCTTCTGGGGGTTAATTGAATTACCTAGAGAAATTGAATGAGAGTGGTAAGAATATTTTGAAGTACACTAGAAAAACCAAAAGCCAGTAAAGCTATATGTTCAACATAAAGGTACTCAGGTGGATTTAGCCACACAGATATTAAAGAGGCAAAAGGGTAAGGAACTCATACATTCATTGTTTTTCTTTAAAAATGTTAAGAACAATTTATACACACATAAATAACGACAGATGGATGTAAGAACAATTTATACACACATAAATAACGACAGATGGATGTTAGAAATTGAATAAGATATAAAGTATAGTTAACAAAAATGTACCAATGTCAACTTTCTTTGGGGGGTGGATTTTGGGTCACACGCAGCAATGCAGGGGTTACTCCTGGCTCATGCACTCAGAAATTTCTCCTAGCAGTGTTCAGGGGACCATACAGGTGCTGGGAATCGACCCAGGTGAGCCGCGTGCAAAGCAAATGTTCTGCCCACTGTGCTATCGCTCCAACCCCCCAATGTCAACTTCTTAGTTGATACACTGAAACTTTCTAAGATGTCAACATTAAGGATCTAGGTACCATCTGTATGCCTTTAATGAGATTATTTCTTCCACACATAAAAGTTCAGGAGTTAGGTTGGAGCGACAGGGCAGTGCATAGGGCTCTTACCTTGCACAGAGCTGACCTGGATTTGCCCCCCCACACCCCATGTGCTCCCCTGGGCCCACCAGGAATAATTCAGACATAAGCCCTGAGCTAGTAAGCACAGAGTCTGGAGAAAGCCCTGAGCACTGCAAGGTGTGCCCCTTCCCCCGCAAAAAAATAAATAAATGAAAGTTGTGAAGTGACTTAAAAGAGTGACCCACTACTAAAGTTCCCATAACTGCAGTTTACGTATCAAAGAACACTTTGCCTATCATGTCTAGTTTTCAAATATGCACTTTCTGTTTTTAATCTCTGCTGAAAGCAAACAACCAAAGGACAGAATCACGTGAACAAATAAATTATTCTCATTTTATCCTCTATGTTAAACTTAGAAACTGCTTCTTATAAGAAAAAAAATGAAGGAGAAACTTTATCAGCCTAATTATATTGCTCTGTTCCACCTTCAGAAATATTGGTAAAGGCATGCTCTTTCAGCCCTTGTGCTCTGTTGAACACGGAGCTTGCTTTCCTGTCACTCTGTTTACTGGTTTTTCTCCACTCGAGAGAAGGCTGTGTTCTCTCATAAACACAAACTCCTCTCTTTCTCTCCTGTCATGTCTTTCTATGCAAGTTTCATTCAATAAAAATCAATCCTGTTTCACAAAATAAAAAATAAGTGTTGATAATGATAATGAATTGACATTACCCATCACTGTATCACTATCGTCCCACTGTTTGTTGAATTACTCGAGCGGGTGCCAAGAACATCTCTATTCCCCCCAGCCCTGAGATTTTAGTAGCCTCTTCTTACTCGTCTTTTCCCAATGATTGGAGGCTCTTTCAGGGTCAGGGGAATGAGACCTGTTGTTGTTACTGTATTTGGCATATGCCACGGGAAGCTTGCCAGGCTCTGCCCATGTGGGCTGGATACTCTCTCGGTAGCTTGCTGGGCTCTCCAAGATGCATATATTTATATATTTTTCTCTATGATTTGTGGCCTACTGTCTGAACCCTACCAGTTACGGTGTAGTTACTGTGGAAAATGGGTAGAAGAGTCTTATAATGTGTCATGCGGCGACAAAATGGCCACAAAGTCCAGAAAGCTGCCTGGAGTGTGGCAGTGGTTGGGTAGTGGAGGTCGGCTGCCAGGCTGGGTCCCTTGGTGTGGGGAGGGCTCTCACCCACCCCGAAACCCGGCTCGGTGTCCGGTGCTAGGGTTCTGGGAGCCTCATTTTATACTCCCTTCCGGAAGGAGCATCCTGAGTTCTGGAGGGTGGCCAATGAGGAGATTATCTGGTGCCAGCAGGATGTGGCTTAATGGTGTGATCCCTTTGTCACCGGAGACTGGGAGAACTAGACAGAGGATCTCTGTTACCCATACTTTTAAAAAATGCTGAGATACTACTGAGATAAAAATAAATTTTCAGATAAAAGAACTCCTATCACTTATTGTATATGACCTGTTGGTATTTTTTCTGTCTTGATAAAACACTAATAATTTGATAAACAAAATTTCAAAAACTAGTTTAGTCCTTATATTAACAGTCTTAATATCACTGTCATATAATATACCAGGAAATATCCACATTTAAGGCACTTAATAAAACTCTCTACTCAAAGAAAAAAAAACGAAAGTTTTTTGATATGTGCCTCATTGTGAGAACAGTTTTGAAAGACAAATGGGAAAGGATCAATAGATCGCCTATGCTGACATACTAATTTAAAGCTATTAACAGAACAAGGAAAAAATAGTTTAAAAAAGCATTTGAGAGAGACTAAAAACAGCCACAGTATGTTCATGGTCAATCCCCTGTCACGAGAATATCAAATGTATTCATTTCAGTTATGTTGATGAAAGGTGTTACAAACTAATTGCAATTGATCCAGAGACCAGTTTTATAAGCATATAATACATATTGACTGTTTCTGCATTGTCTCAGAATGAAAGCCTACTTATCTTTAAATTGGAAGCCAACAAAGTGAATATAGTCCAAAACTACTGCTGATGGCAATGCTGTCTACAAGGGATCATCTTAAAACATAACCACCAACTTCATCAATGCAAAACTTAGAAAAGTAGGATCCCTGGTGGCTCTAAATTTGCTTTAACTCAACTTTACCTGCAAGTAACTTGTGACAAATCTAGGAAAGAAATACTTAAGTTTATTTTTGCATGAATGGGGGTGGGGAGTCAAGAGAAACCATTGCTAAGCCACATGAAAGCTGCCACGAACGCTGCAATTGTAATAAACCCTGAAATAATAACAATGATATGATTGGGCAAGCACTTAGCATGTAGCAGGTGTTATGTTGTAGTAGGCTCTATTGTACTATCATTTCACAGTAAAATGTTCCGGGAAGTCAGGTATCATTATCTTTCCTTGTATGCCATTGCTGAAAACCAACATATATGCTTAATCTTCCTCTTCTCCTGATTAAAATCCTCCCTGATTAAATAGATTGATAAGTAGGGGGCATATAACTAGGTTCTAATCAATAAACTGTGTATGCATGGTGTGTGATAAGACACATCTAGGTCAAAATGTTACTGATACCCCTTCCTCCCCAAGCAAATTTTTTCTTTCAGGGAGGAAGGGCAATATTCAAGCTGGGGGTTTATCTTTCAGTCAACAGTGAAGACAAACACATGCCCAGGTAAAACTATGTACCAAGTAGTCAAGAGTGGACCTTCACAACTTTTAAGCCCCAGAGATCCTGAGGTCTATTGCTTACCGTTGCAGCAAAAAGTGGCCCATCTATAGCCACAACATAGACAGGACTAATAAAAATATCTTATAAATTAAGGAACTCAGACTGAAGTTTAAATCACTGGGAAAAGGGGGGGGGGGGGAATCACTGGATCACAGGGATGCAGAAGAGCTTTACTAACCTAAAGTATTGACAGATTGCAACACCTGGTTCCTTTTGTTCGCATTCAGGCCTCAACTTCCCAGAGGCCCTTTAATTATAAAGACTAAGACTGGAATGATGAAGACCTTATTATTGTTTTCAAAGGGCCAAAGTTCAACCAGGAAATAGGACAGTGATGAAATTTTGGCCCTGTACTTGAAAGGGAAAAAAAAAACATAATCCAGGCCTTTGGAAGAAAGAAGGAGCAGATATGCTGGGCTAAAACAGTCTGAAGTACAGTGTTTATTTCAACTCCTAGAAAGTGTACCTGCTAAAATCCCTGAGTAATAATATGTCTACTGCAGCAGAAACCAACAACCTCCCTGGGCATCTGTGAACTCTGGAGCTGAAGCAATAGACAGGAATATAAAGGTCATCTGGCCCAGGGACATTCAGTCGTTTCTGCCCATTATTTGTCAGCTCACCTTCAGGTCACACAACGGACTTTGCCAACCAGTATCTACCTAAATTTGAGACTGCTCAGAGGTACAACACCAGAGAGCAAAATACTTTTTTCTCTTGGTCTTCCTCTCTCTCTTTTTTTAACCTCCAACACACTGGACCAAATGGCCTACAATTCCCAATGCAGAGACCCAAGGATGAGTTTTGCTAGGGCTCTAAGGTACTAGGGGTCACCTGGCCCATCCTGATGATTGGGGGGCTCCAGAGCCATACCTGGTGAAAAGGAACCTGGATTGATAGTAACTGTTGTACTATCCCCCACCCACCATCCTTGAAGTATGGTGGCTGTTTCACTCTGATTATATTTCGTTTAAAAATTTTTTATTGTAATTTCAGTAACATGGTTACAACAGTATTAATATGAATGGTTTTAATTTACAAATTTATAGCACCCTCACCATAATTAATAGCACCGCGGTAGGGCATTTGCCTTGCACGCAGCCAACATGGCCAACCCGAGTTCAATTCTTCCGCCCCTCTCAGAGAGCCCAGCAAGCTACCGAGAGTATCTCGCCCACACGGCAGAGCCTGGCAAGCTCCCTGTGATGTATTCGATATGCCAAACACAGTAATAACAAGTCTCACAATGGAGATGTTACTGGGCCCGCTCGAGCAAATCGATGAACGACAGGAGGACAGTGACAGTGACAGTGACACCATAATTAAAGTGTTCAAGTCTCTCCACACTGTTCTTTTTTTTTCTTTTTGACTTTTTGGGTCACACCCACGGATGTTCAGGGGCTACTCCTGGCTCTGCACTCAGAAATTACTCCTGGCTGTCCTCGGGGAACCATATGGGATACCAGGGATCGAACCTGGGTCTACCACATGCAAGGAAAATGCACTCCAGGCTGTACTATCGCGTCGGCTCCTGATTATATTTTTTTTGGATGATCTAGACCCCCTTAGAAAGGCCAACTTTCATAATTCCAGTTCCATCATCTCCCTGCCCTTAACTACTACACTATAAACTGGACCTAGACTCATGACAACACCTCCTGCCACTACTCAGA